CAGCTGTGCAGTGACACAGTGAATGAAGAAATTGACTGAAAGGAATCTGTGCACTCTGTCTACAGACCCTCATGTAATCCCACATGCGAACCAAGAGTAAAAGGAATTACTGGTGTGAGGTTATTTCAGCTGGGGCAGGCTTTGACCTTGCATCATGCACAAGATATTGAGATGTGCTTAAAAGAAATTCACGGGTGATAAATTTGGCACTTCTGTTACACTTGATTATAGAATAAAATCTGGTGGCTGTTTTGGGCAAGTTTACAAAAAGAGAAAACATGCTTCTGAGTGTGAATTGTATTTGGTAGTGGCTGTGCTGGGCTGGGAGTGGTTTCCTTCCGTCTTGCAGCCAATGTCAGAACAGAAGGCTGCGCTGCGTGGCACTGTGGGAGTTGTTTTAGGTCACTTATCTCTCATTTTTATTAGCAACCAGGCTAACAAAGTAGTATGCATGTTACATTTGCAGTCAACAGGATGTTGGACAGATGTGAACGATAAGATAGCATTAGAATTTAAAATAGTCTTGGCAACTTGTAGAAATGGTTGCAACAGGGAGGAGATTGGGGGGGAAGACAAGATCCTTTTCAACAAGGCACTAAATTTAGACAGGTTTAAGCTCGGCGTTGAGCCACGTAGTTAACAGTGCTTCTGATAAGGAAGCTGGGAGTTGGTCCTGTTAGTAGAAGAAAAATGAGCTTCAGGCTAAGGTTCACAAACGACAATTTATTTCATAAGGCTCGCGAGCTGCAGGTGCTCCTGGGAAGCACAGGATTAAGTACACAACTTGAGATGTTCTTTGCTGCACTGTGCAAAGTCCAGGAGAGAGTGGTGTGAGTGATGTACTGAGACATGGGAAAATGCACTTGAGGGAGCACAGAAAGAATGGAGATTGAAATCTTTTGGTAGACTGGGCTTAAGTGGCACCTAGTATAAAAAATGAAGGTAGGAAATTAAGGAGCAGATGTATGGAGAGATGTCTTCTCTTCTACAAATGGAGACCTGTAAAGAGCATCTGTCAGGAGTGATAGCTATGTTTTCCTTGCCTCAAAGTGAGATGATTAAGCTGGCTGACTTCCCACAGCTCTTTGCTATCCTTCTTCTTTTGGAGCTGTACAACTTGTATTTCTAAGCACGGCTAAAAGCTGAAGGTAAATAACTACAGGAGGAAGAGGAGCTGAGAGTAACATGGTGAGAAAAGTACTCTGGAGTTTCCAGTGCATGGTCAAACTATAATATGAAATACTATTAGGAGCTGCCCCTTGCCAGAAAATCTACCCCTATCTTGTCAGCTTGGCCTAAATGATCTTTATGAAACCACTGCCTACATCTGTACCCGACTGTGTCCAAGTCCACTCTGGCAGAGTGCTGCCACCATCTGCAATAAATCTAAAGATACTGATCAGCTGTTGGTGTAAAGGTAGCCCCAGTAGTACATCTGAAAACGCACAGATTTGACAAGAAGTCCCTGGTGCTGATTGGCAGATCTCCTAACTTTTCTCAGTCTTGATGATCCTTCCAATTCAGGACATTCTATTGTTTTCACTGTGCATTCTGTATATTATAAAACATTACGTGCACCTAAATACAGTTATATCTGCAGCTCAGATTGCCTGGGGCACTTCCTTGAAGGCTTCTGCCTCGTCCTTGGATGAGACAAAGCTGACTGGGCAGGTAGCACATGTTGCATGTTTTCAGCCTGCAAAGGACCTGCTTTTGAAGCTGTGGGTGTTTACACCACCAATCTGTGAATCAAAATGAACAGACCTGCATCAGAGAGCCAGACAGCCTGGGACCTTCAGGTGCTTATCCTTGCCCCTTTGGTAGAGCTTATATCTTGTTTAACACACACAAAATATGGTTTCAGAGGAGTGTTGCTGCCATATGTTTAGCAGTCCATTCTGGTGGTGCGTTTTCCAAGTGAGTTTTGCCACCAGTTGTTTTGGAGTTTGTGTGTAATGAACATCATCCAAACTGCTGCTCCCACCACCATCTGGTCAGCACAGCAATTACCAGTTTGCTAAGAGCTCTGATTTTGGTAAGCCCATCTGATGGGAGCAATGATGGGAATTTGAAGTCGGGGTTATTCTGTTGAGCCCTGAACACGTGTCCCACACACCACAGCAGATGTGGCTGAGCTCCTCCTTGCAGTCATGTGGAAGGAGAAAGTAATCCCAGAACAGTGATGGGCTGAGGCGTCATCTGTCTGTCCTAGCTGCCTTCTTTTGCCTTTCCTCTTGACCTTGATTCAACTTGCTACTGCTGCATGTCAGGTGGGGTTTCTGAGACACGGTCTAAATGGATTTCCCAAAGTGTCAGAGCTCTGACTCATGGCTAACAGCTATGGCAATGCCCATTTTTGCTTTTCTGTGGCTCTTGAGACTGCAGTCTCCACGATGACCCCATTTTGCTGCATGACCTTGCTTCATCCTCCCAGTGGTTCTTTCCATTCACTAAACAAGACGTGTTCCTCTGGAAGACAGAGTACATGGTTATGTAAATGGATAATCTTGAATAGTGCATGAGAATGAGCTATAATTCTGCAGGCAGCGTTACATCTGCTATTTGCTAATTCAGACTTCACAATTTTCATTTCCTTTTAGCATACATTTTTAAAAACATTGTGGTACAACTCCTCCCTTGGAAAAAAATGTGAAAACATATTAATTTGATCATCAGCACTGTTGGGATCTGGAGACGCACAACAAAGTCATTCCCACTGTAAGCTAACAGCGTTTGTACTTCATTTACTGTCTGGTAACATGGGTCCACCAGAGGGGAATAGGATGCGTGCTTTGCATGTGTCTTTATAGTTTTTTTTTACTTGCCAAGAAAGCAATGGTCATGTCTCAGTAAATAGGTTCTACTCTGTTTTTGTTTTGTTTTTTTTTTTTAATATGGTTATTTCTGCTTCCCTCTGTCAAGACCATACTGTTCCCCAAGCACATATGCTGTTGAGTTATATCCACCAGCTCTTCTTATTTGGACAATCCTGTCCAGAGCTGGTTAATCTGAAGAGTTGGGCAAATGTTCTTAGATCACTGTCATCTGGGGCAGGGCTCTTTTTGATTCCAAATGTCATATTAGAGTCTGTCTTGGATGAATGAGAAAATGGGGAGAGAAACAAGAGGGGGAAACAGAAATCAACAGAAATAGAGATAAATTTGAATAGGAAAAAGGAAATTCAATACATATCATCATTTAAACCAGAAAGTTTATGGCACAGTGTCAGAACTGGAGCAAATGCAAGCTGTCCTGCTCTGCATATATTTTTGTGCATATCTGTGATTCTGTGACATTCCTTCTAAAGGAGAGCATTTCCACCAGTTTACTTTAGGGCTAGTGGGAACTGCTGTGAATCTTTGTATCCTATTTGCCAAGAAGAATTTCTTAAAACTTGAGAAAATAATGTAATTTTAATCTATAAGCAGGAAAGGACTGGAGATGCAAGACTTGTTTGTGCATGCCCAAAGCTACTTAGATCTTGAACTCCTTCAGGCTCGTGCTGTCCTTGCACAGTGAGAGCTATTAAAGCGGTGGCAGTGACACTGGCATCTCTCAGACAGGAAAGGAGCTGCTCTTTACATTTTTTTTCTTGGCTAATTTATCTAATGCTGTGTTTTCATGAACTCCAGCATCCAGACCTAAGCCTCTTCCAAAGTCAGTTGCCATCATGGCATCAAACTTCATTTTTACGGATTCAGATTAACTCCTCTCACTCAAAGAGTTCTTCCCTAGCACATATGATATAATTTTTCCACCCAGTCTCTTGTAGACTTGACATTACGTAACTGGAGCCAGAAGTACGGCTCTCCAGCAAAGAAGGCACTAGGGCTAGGGAAAAGCTTGAATATGCAAGTGGAGCAAGCCTGGGGACAAAAGATTTCTTAATCCATTTTGTAACTGGCCAGCTGTTGAGCTGCCCTGCTCTCCCCATGGATGCTTATGCAAGCAGGGGGGCTGCAGCAGGGCAGCTGGGCCCCCAGCCAAGCAGTGAGCTGGGCTTTGTAACTGGGGCTGGCTCATTAGCTGGGCTGCTTGATGAGCTGCTGCATATAGCCAAGTTTGTTGGGGCAGCACTTTGCCTTTGTCAGATGAAACTTCAACTTTGGGTGTACGCAAAGTCTTGATGGTATTTAAAGTAGTGGGAATGCTTAGTCCCCAAGGTCAGTGCAAGTGACCTTTGTAAAGCCATCTGAACATCTCCCCCCTTGCATTACGCTGTCCCCTTGCACCCAGTCTTCATCTCTTCACTGCAACAAGGATGGATTTGTCCAAAACTGGGTAGAGCTGTATAGCAGCACTGCTGGAGCAGAGACAGGTGGCCTGAGACTGGGCTGAACTTAGGTCATGGGCTGCGAGGAGGATGAAGTGTCCCAGGTGAGTCCCTTGGGGCCATCAAGGCAGAGTGTTCAAGCTGAAGGCTTTTCACAGAGTCATGGAATCATTAAGGTTGGAAACAGCAATCGATCTTCTAGTCTAAACATCAACCCAAGCCCCTGACTGCTCTAGACCATGTTGTTCAGTGTGACATCCACTCTTTTCTTGAATGCCTCCAGGGATAGTGACTCCACCATCTCCTTGAGTAGCCTGTTCCAATACCTCACCACAAGTAAGTAAAATACCTTTTAGAGTTACCTGGAAGCCCATCCCAGAGCAGGTGAGTTTAGAATATTTCCCCAGCTTCCTACACCCCATAAAATTTTTCAAGATGCCCCATAGACTATTCACGTAAGTGCATCTATCTTCTCCACAGCTATTCCCAGAGCTTCCTCAACTGTGCAGAGAGAGAGGTAGAGCAGCAGCAGGAGTGACCATGATAAAACAAGGGGCCAGGAGGGAGCATGTTGTGCTGCTAGGGAAGATGGGTAAGAGCAGCACCTGCAGCTCTCCGATAGCACTGCTCATCCCTTGGCTGTGCCTGTGTGTCTTGGAGCTGCTGCAGGCTCACTGCCAGACACAGCTGGGGCATCTGTTGAGTTTCTTATCCTCTCCAGACAGCTGCTGGTGTCCTTTGGCACTTTGGAGCCAATGGCAAAAACAGCCCTTCCTTGGGGTGGATGTGGGAGGAGTATGACTGGCAGCGCATCCAGTTGAAGACCATTCCTGAAGCTGTTCCTGAGGCTGGGGTATTGAAGTCCTGTAAACCTTGAACTGTGAGCACATGTATTAATTGTGGAGCTCAGGACTTCGTTTATGCAGTTTGGAGAGATGGAGGGAAATGAGAAAAGGTGTGTGGGTTCATGGTAGGTATGCTTGTGGTAGTGAGATGTTTGCTGGGGAGGGAATGGTCTTGGATGGGCAGATTGGTGAATAGATCTTCAGTGGCAAAATAAAACAGCAGATCATGGATAAAAATAAATGAAAGAGAACTGTTTTTTAAGATGTTGCACCAGATTTGAGCTGTGTATAACCTGTGAAGGAATTTAGCACATTTGGCAACAGCAGTACTGGTGGGTTATGATGGCACTTGCAGGTGTGCAGTGTATTCCCCCATCTTCTTCCCATCCTAAACACTTGAGTTAACTGAATGCCTCTCTCACATCTTAGTCTTCTCCCATCCACCCTAGAGATACTGTTGGGGAGTGACTGCAGAGAGAAAGCCTGTGCCACTGCAGGGAGGAGGGCTTTTCCCAGGGAAGTGAGCTGCTCTTAACTTGTCACGTGTTTGGACACTCATCTTCCACTTGTCACTCTATCACTGGAAAGCTGGTGCTTCTGATAATAACTTGCAAAGAGCTCTTACTGTCTAATTTTAATACCCTCTAAATGTTTATCTGATTCCTGTGGAGAAGGTCCAGGCTAGTAGGAAAATACCATACGCCTCCCTAGGATGTCTTCACTGTCTAGTAGAAGTTATTCACAGGTTTTGGTAAAAATATCTAGAAATACAATTAGTTCTCTCCTTTTTTTTTTTTTTTCCCCTCACTTTTGATAGTAAAATGGGAGGTCTCATTAAAGAAGAAATCTAGTATTTTCCTAATGAAGTGACCAAATGAAGAAAATTAATGATAACCATAATATGTCCCAGACTTGACCCTCCATGCAGCAGTCTGTGCTGTCCAGTCTGGGAGTAAGCCAGCCATCATTTTCTTACACAGGGGACAGAAATATCCATTTTTCCAATGATAGGACTGCCAGGATGGTTCTGGGCTGTGGATGGCAAGGGAAGACCTCTTCCAAGATGACGTGTTTCCTGTTGATTCCTGACTGGGTACTATGCAATGCACACAGTTTCCACAACTTATGCTTTGCTCTGAGGCTCAATTTCCACCCCAGGGTCAGCACTGGAGTCCCCTGCTCCATCTAATCATTAGAGCTGCACCTTGAAGTCACTAATGGAGCCTACAACAGAGCTGGCCATGGATTTCAGTTGAAGCGTTTTAATGGGCCCCATTGTGCTGCATTGTTTTTGTGGGTGTCTGCACCTTTCAAGCAAGCTCCAATTAGAAGAGGGGGGAGAGGAGAGGAAGAGAGAGGGGAGTAAACAGAGGCAAAACGATTCAGCTCTCAGGAAATCCACAGCCTGTTTGTGGGACAGATGGAGCCACGCAGCAAATGGCTGTGCTGCAGCATGGCCCCTGAGCAGGTGGGTATTTTGGAAGTGATGAGCAGTTTACTCCCTTAGTTAGCAGCCATGCAGGCTCACACCGGACATATGTCAATAACAGCTCTGGTTGGATCCTGCTGTCACAGCAATCAGAACTTGCTTACTTCTGCCCACCTGCTCTCTAAAAAAATTGCTGGAATCAAAACAAACAAACAAGAAGTTACTGACACTTGTTGCGTTAGAAGGGCAAATGAGGGCTCAGAAACACATGGGTATTATTTCACTTAAGTACTAATTGCTGAATGCCTTTCATTAAGAGACCGTCGTGGTCGTCCCAGCAGTGTTTTGAACTAATATGCAGATGGGCAGATGGCCCTTTGCTGTAATACAGGCAGATGCATCTAACGTTACAGATGGATTATTATGTTGATTTGTCACTGAAAGAAAAACTTATTTCACAATAGGGCATTCGTTTGAGCATGATTCTTTTTCAAGTTTCTATTTCACCTCTGTACTGGTTTTCACTCCATGAAAAAAATCAGCAATCAGCAACTAGCATTTCCCCTTCTGTGCTACAAAAAGAGAAAGAAAGAAACTTAAAGAGCCTGCCTAAGAGTAAGATGGTCCTTTTTTGAACCTGGAAGATGTATTTTAACTTCAGACCTGGAGGCAGGCCTGGAACAGGCTCCCAAGGGCAGTGGTCACAGCATTAAGCATACTGGAGTTCAAGAAGTGTTTCGACAGTGCTCTCTGCCATAGGGTTTGGATTTAGAGTGGTTCTTTGTGGAGCCAGGATTTGGACTCAGTGGTCCTTGTGAATCCCTTCCAACTCAGGATATTCTGATTCTTTGGAAAGTGATGTTTATTCTTTATCTTTCTGAGCCAATCGGGTTCCTGGAGCATCTCCCATGTGAGGAAAGGCTGAGTAAGCTGGGTCTGTTCAGCCTGGGGAAAAAAAGACCAAGAGGGGATCTGATCTGATAAACATTTATAAATATCTACAGGGAGGTAGAACTTCTTTATGGTGAGGGTGACTGGAACAGGTTGCCCAGAGAGGTTGTGGAGTCTCCATCTTTGGAGATATTGAAGACCTGGCTGGAAGCCTACCTGTGCGAACCTGCTCTAGCTGGGGGGCTGGACTCAGTGATCTCTTGAAATCCCTTCCAACCCCTGAGATTCTGTGATTCTGTGAAACTGAACTGTGGTTTTTCCTAGGTCAAGTCCTCCAGCATCACTGGGTTAGAAAGGAGATCTGAGACAGACACAGGAAAGGGAACCAGATTGAAGCTCAAGGTAAGCTGCCCTAAGGATGTTGTTTGAGCAATAAGCAGCAGCATAGCTGTGGGACTGATAGACAGAGGTAAAAATGCAGGTATTACTGTCATGAACGTGGTACTTTAACAACAAATACTAAGATGATACGTTTTTAAAGATTGCTTGGTGTCTTGTCTTGCTATTTGAAAGGCCAGCTCATGATTGTGCATTGTGGATGCACAGGCAATGTGAAGGCTGTTCTGTATCCAAGAGGAACAAGACAAGGAAGCAGGTGGAAGGTTGAATGGTGGCCAACCATTGCTCTCCCTGTACTGATGCCAAAACTTGCTTCTGGCTACTGCTGTGGTGATCTTCCTGGGTCGTATGTTTTGTCTCAGTCTTGTCAAAGCTGCTTCCTTTCCCCAAAACATTCCTTCTTTGGACAATGGAGCAGAATGAGGAGAGCCAAGGGACAGCCTGTAGCACCACTACTACATTGTAGCTGTGTCAAGAACCTCCTTCAAAAAAAAAAAAAAAAAAAAAAAAAGAAAAGAAAGGGAAAGAACTCACTGAAAAAAATCTGCAACTTATGCTTGATGTTAATATCTTGGTATTTAATTTTTATCCATCAGAGAAATACATCTCCTGCTGCTTATCTCCCCAGCCTTTTTAAGTCAGTGTTGTCATCACAAGCACAGCTCTACCACAAATTTGGCCAGAAAGAGAAAAGCAAACAGAAGATGAACATGGAGATAAGAAATCTGGAACTACATGCGGCAGCAGCAGAAAGTCCCAAAATTAAGAGCAGAAATTTTCCTGTAGCTGAGATATGTGCCACAGCCATTGTGTCACACTCCAGTAACAGTCTGTCCTGAGATCACACCTTTTCTCTCACACTGTATGAGGTGTGATTTAACACACCCCCTGCTCCAGGACAATCTGACGAGTTAAAAATCAATGATGTTTCTCCAAACAGAGGAGGATGTTGTGTGTCAAATGCTGAAAATGGACCTCAAGTGATGGCTTACATTTGCCAGCTGTTACCTGAACAGTTATGCCAGCCACCTGGCCTTGCTGCAGGACTTCAGATGTGTCTGTTCAATCACTAGCAGTCTGAGTGGTTCACAGCTTGTCCAAGAGATGCAGTCTTGACGTTTGATCCCCACTAGTACCTGTGTATTAATGCTGTTTTGTAGGGATGCGAACTTTTGGGGGCCTCAAAACATGAGCCTGCATGTGAGGGAGATCTCTCATAAAGAAGCAGAATACTTATCTATGGCTGCAGAACAAACAATCAGAGAAGCCAGCCAAATTTAAGATAGCAATACACTAAATACTGGGAAAAAATTGTTGCATAACATGAAGTAGCATTATGCAACACAGGGAATGGGATATAGCACTTAGAGCAGAAAATGACCTTTTGGTTTTAGTTTCTGAATGAAATCAACTTTCATTATGCAACAGTTGGCCTGTCCATCAAATAGGGTAGTTGATATTTATCCATGTCTCTGGCATGTGAGTCATTAATTAATATTTACAAGGCAGCTGGAGGTCTTGGGATGAATGACTTTGCAGGTACAGAGATATCCGTTGGAGTTTTCTCACTGTCAGACATAACGCAACAGCAAGCGCGGCCACATGTCTGCACATGTGGTCATAATCAGCTTTCTCAAATGAACAGCATGGTTTCGAATAGGAAAGAAACACAATTTATGGATAGTTAAACTTACACTGAATTGCCTTATGCCTAGGAGATGTGTTCATGCTATGGATGCGTTTGTCATATTCAAACAAGGAAATGATGTCTGTATTGGCCATGAGATATCATGGTAGATTACTACTGTGGATCTTCTTGGCCTCAGTTTCAGTGAATCTGTGCATCCTTTCACAGTTTGGAAATGTGTTTGCTTAAGTGCAAACCCAACAACACCATCGTCAGAGGGCCCTACCTCCTCCAGCTGTCTGATGCTGACAGTGTGATGTTACTCAAGCTCTCTTGGACTCCTTCACAAAGGAGTAATGCTGCAGGCAGGGGAAGCTGTATGGAGCAAGGTTTGGTAGGAGAGCTCTGCCTTCAGTGTCTCCCCTCTGACTGTCATGACCTGATTTTTTCAAAGAGCTCAGCACTCTGCTTCTAAGTTCTGGGGGGAAAATGTGCCATTTATTTGCTGTGCCTAAATGAGATTTGAACTAATCCTTGAAAATCTGGCCCAAATATTTCTTCTGTCATTGAAAGAAAGGAAAAATCCCAACTCTTTGAGGAAGCTCTGATGTCTTTGTTATCTGAGACACAGCCCTTGAGAATTCTCACATCTATATTTTGCTGAGAAGCAGTGAGAGCATCATTCCATATGGCTCAGGAAAACAAGGCAGTCAAAGCAAAGATGGAGGGAATTTTAAGACTGCAGTGATAAGATCTTCTCAGAGTTTATAGTGACCTCGCTGCTTTGCACTGTGACTTAGCTGTCTGTTTTTTGAAAAACATGGAGTGATACAAATCAGGATTTGTGAGGGAAACAAACAGCCCACCCGTTCAAGAGAAAAAAAAAGCATGAAAGCCTGATCTTGCTGACAGCCTGTTGATGTTTCTGTGCTCTTTCTGTAGGAAGGAGACCCCCAGCTCTCTGTGAAGGATGGGCATGAGCTGGCATCGAGTCAGAACATCTTGTGAAGGTGGGAGAAAATTGGAGCATTGGGGCTCCTCGGCCTTTGAAACCCCCTTTGTGTGAGCAAGAACTGGAGCTGTTCTGAAGAGGTAGGTTGGTGCTTAGCAGAGATGAGAGCATGCAGTTTGCAGCTAAACTAGGAGATGAGTAGGTGTCTGAATTGTTTTCTGCATATCCAGGTCAGGATGGGAAAAGGAGATTTTCTCCACTGATGCCTGTAAGGTCCAGAGGCAGCATCTACAAATCACTGGTTATGTTCATATTCAGTAGGGTCCCATCTGGCCTGGCCAAGGTCTGCCTTTTTCACATCAACTTTAGCCTCCATCCTACTTTTCTCCTTGCAGAATCCCAATTTCCAAGCTGTTGGGCTGACTGCACAAAGGGAGACGCTGGCTCAGCGTGTTAAGACCACGCTGAACATCTATAGCATAGAATGAAAAAGTAAAGGTGAAATGTGCAGCCCAGGGCTCTGGGTTCTTTCTTGTGTGCTCCTGGGAATGGAATTTTTGCCCATTGGACTTGAGCTGCTCTAAAAAGCACAGAACAAAAGCTGATCTTAAAAGTGATCTGCAAAGGAATAAATGGCAGGCGCCTCTTTGTTATTCATGTATGGCACTCAAAGAGCACTTGAAATGGTTGGGATTTTCGGTGGACATTTTCTTTATTTTTTTTAAATTCTTCTTGGGTTTTGGGGCATTTTGGTGTTTGTGACTCAGGAGCAGAAATACATTATGGCTGGCTGGGAAACCCATGCATTGATGACATCAGGAGACACATGTGAGTTAAACAGGCCTAAAAGGGAAAACTCAGGCATCTGGGGCTGCGATATTCACCAAGAGGCAGCCTGGCCTTTGTCTTTTACTTAATTTTATTCCTGCCTGCCCTGTGCTCCATACCACATGATTTATGCACTGAATCATGCTCAGCAGCCGTATTCACAAGCTGGCACAAATTTATTTTTGTCTGCTGGCCAATTACACCAACTGCCTCAACTGTTGTTTATTTTCTTCTGTTGCATCCTCTTGAGTTACCATTAACAGTGTCGCTTTTGAGTAAAGATGGGCTTTTTGGCAACAGGGCCTGTCGGCCTGCCAAACTAATGGACCATATATGTTATCTAACAAGTCAAAAAGGCTCCAATTTCAAGACAGCCTGCAGTTGTTGTGGCCACCTGCAGTGCACTGGCAGGGGTGTAGGCCACTGACCGTGTGGGACGTGTCACCCCGGCTCAAGCATGTCCTTTGGTACAGATTGCCCTTAGGGGAGGACGTGTATGGGCTTTGCTATGGAGAACAACAGCCCTCCTGTGGCTGACAGCGTAACACTGGGATGAAGAGCACCCCACATGTGGCTGATCTGGATGGAGGCTGCTGCAGCCACCAGAGCGGGATCCAAGCATGGATGATCCTGACAAACCTGCACAGCAACAACCCCTGGACTCCCCTGGCTGAGAAAAGATTAATTTAAATAGCCTGAAAAGCAGCAAAGGGAAAAGTCATCTTTCATGAGATGGAACTGTGACTCACTTTCTGAGGGACAACCCTGTACCAGGGTTGCAAGCTTGCATGTTGTCCTAGCCTTTGCAAGATCCTTTGAGTATGCAGCCCCGATTCCTTCCCCTCCAGTTCCTTATCTTAGCTTGTAAAACATCCTGCATATGGACAATAGGGCTATTTGTGTCTGGCTTAAGTGCAAACCTGGAGCCATCTCTGTACAAATCACAACTGACTTGCAAAATCCTCCAGCCTTCTGCTGCCTTACTGTCTTTGTGGTCACGTGCACCCTATTTGCTGAAAATAGGATGGTGGTTTACTGCAAACCTTGGAGAAATGTCTGTCAGGGTGTCCATCAACAGAGGTAGCAGAGTACTGGAGGACTACAGCCTGCATGGGTCACAGCTACAGCTGAAATGGCACCAGGCATAGACCAGGTGCCCACACTAAGGGTTTCAGACCACAGCCTGCATTTGTAGGGCAACTGGGAGGAAAATGTTGTCTTGTTGGTCAAATGAGCAACACTGATGCTCACAGATGTTCTCCATATTGTGCCATAGGGAAGGTTGATCAGAGAACTGGAGTGCCTCTCCTATGAAGAAAGGATGAGGAAGCTGGGCTTGTTCAGTCCAGAGAAGAGAAGGCTCTGGGGAGACCTCACTGCAGTCTTCTAGAACTTAAAAGAAGCTTACAAGTAGGAGGACAAGCAGGAAGTGAGGCTGCTCACTGTAGCAGCAGAAAATCATACTCCTTTCCCTAGATGAGTAAATAAAGGAGCTACTCATGGAGCAGAGTTCTTTCAGAAGCTCTGTTGAATGTGCATCTAACTCTGCAGGTTATTTGGATCCAGAGGAGGGCCATAGGGATGATCAAAGGGCTGGATCTCTTATGAAGATAGATTGAGGAAGTTGGGCTTATTCAGCCTGGAGAAGAAAAGGCTCCAGGGAGACATCACTGTGGCCTTCCAATTCTTGAGGGGAGCTTTAAAAGCAGGAGGGAAACTGACTTTTTACTGATAGTCTGATAGTGACAGAAAAAGGGGGGACGGCTTTAAACGAAAAGAAGGGAAATTTAGGTTAGAAGTTAAGAAGAAATTCTTTACTCAAGGGGTAGTGAGGCCCTGGCACAGGCTGCTTAAAGAACTGGAGGTGCTCCATCCCTGGAGATGCACAAGGCCAGGTTGGATGGGGATTTGGGCAGCCTGAGCTGGTGGGGGCATCCAGACTATGGAAGGGGGGTTGGGACTGAATGAGCTTTAAGGTCCCTTCCAACCTAAGCTGTTCTAGGATTGTGTCTAAAGCTGATCCTACTTCTAGAAATCCAAACCCAGCACCCTACACACTTGCCTATATTGCAGAAACAAGGGCTCTACCAGCACCTCAGCAAGTGAAAAGGGGAGAGTCTTCCTATGACTCTTGAGGAGCATGTTTGATGTTTGTAGGCCAAAAGCTTTCACGTGCGAACATGGCGAGCAGCTCAGCAGCTGAGAAGTGTCAGCTTCTTGCTCCCTTTGAACCTCTTGTGCAAGAAACCCCTCATGTGGTTACTGCCTGGCTGGCAGCTCGTCGCCACACCATGCTAGGCCACTGTGCTGCAGAACAGCAGAACTGTGCTTCTAGACATGCTGCTGACACCACAACATCCTTGACTAGGCTGGTGCATGCCCTCCATCCTCTGAGGGTGTGCTTGTCTTCAGACAAAAACCAATGCTCTGCCTGCCTCCAGAGAGGGTCTGCTGTCTGCTCTCAAGTGAGAGGCAGGATGTGCAAGAAAAGTCAGGCCTGGTGTCACCAAACCCAGACTCATTTCCTCCTCCTGGTGCTCGAGGCTGTCTGGAACAGAGGTTGGACCTGAGAGTCATTTGTAGCCCTCAGCAAACTTCTCATAAACAGGAAAGAGCACTGTGGGGAGGATGACAAGACAGCAATCAGTTCTGCTCTGTCTTTTGTTCTTCCCCTTCTCTTTTGTCTTAAGACTAACAATGGCTTGTTTGATTTGTTGCACGGACAACTGCCATATGGAAGTAAAACTGTCCTTCAAGAGGGTGGCAGCCCTCAGTGGGGTGGTCATGGCCTCATCCTGCCTGCAGCTGTGGAAATGACACCTATTGGGCCTGCTCCTGGCCTGCAGCCGCTGTACTTGAGGAGGGCTGCATGCTGAAGGGGAGGTCCTAGAGATGCCAGCCAGTGACAAGGACCTTGGGCTCTTTGCCTGGGTTTAACATCCCATTGCATTTAATTCAGGATTTAACATCCATTGCAAATAGGGATGACTGAGCTGGTGTGACGCACTTTGTCCTGTGTAAAGGAGGCATGGCCTAGTGATAAGGACACCCAGCTGGAGCAAGAAGTAGGAGCCAGGTCTCTGTTGTATTCCCAGATTATGAAAATTCACTTTTCTCCACTTCTCTCTAGCTCCATGAGTCTTGCTTTTGTGCTGCCTGTTGAGTCAACATCACAAGACAAGCCTGGACCCAATAACACCAGTATCCCCCTGTTTAAGTCACCTTCCTGCAGCATGGGGAGTTAAATCCTTTCCAGGTGGAGGAGGAACTTTTATTTCTCCTATCATGGTGAGCTGCTGCTAGTGAGCAGTACTGTGCAGTGCAGTTTCTAGTGGCTATTTTCAGGTACTTTAATGCCTCAGCTGACTTTTTGTAACTTATCTTTGACACATGGGGTGCATTCCTCCTGATTCCTTGGCAGCTAAAACATCAACGAAAACAGCATGGAAGTCTCCTTCCTTCCACACCTCCCCATGACCCCAACAGAGGTGTGTGAGGACTTACATTTGTTACACACCTAAAAGGCACTCAACAGGCTCATCACAAAGTTATTATAGCCTGTGTGCTCCTCAGTGGGTGTGAAGTGGTTAATGACTGACTTGTAAAACTGCTCTGTGCATGGGTGAACTGTGTAGGTGTTTTCAGAAACAGCTGTGCCAGTTTCCCCTGTCAGGATGGGCTTGGGTGCTGGCCAACTTTCCTGTCACTCTCTGTTTGCAAAACTTTGTGTGATTGAGTTTTGGTTTTTGAAATCCGTCAGGTACAAATGAAAGTCAAAAGCTGAAAACTTGAAAAACTGAAAGCTTTTAGTATTATTTCAGAGCTTGCTTTGTTTTGCAGGATTCATCATTGTGAATACCAGCGTTCTAGAACTCTGTCAGATGATGAAATGAATCTACTACTGCTAAGAAGCACCAATTTGTAATATAAACACTGATTATGCCAGGAGGAGAAGCCTAAATCCATTTAGATGTTGCTCATCAAAGATCTCTATGGTCAAGGTCTATGGTCTATATACAGTGTCTGGAAAGCTGGGCTTGAATATGTGTAGGAACTAAATAGGCCATTTTTACACCCTAGTTTTCGATGTCCTACATCGTAACTCCTACAGTGCATTTAGTAACTTGTGTGAAAGTCTCTCTAGAAAGTACTGTCTTCTGTCTCTGAAAATGCATTTGCAGCCTCTGGCAGGTGCCCTGGAGAAACATGTAAATGTGGCACTGAGGGACATGGTTAGTGGGTATGGTGGGGATGGGTTGACAGTTGGATTAGACTACTTTAGTGGTCTTTTCCAACCTAAATGATTCAGTTATTCTTTGCAGCCACATATGGTCAAGACCTGGAGAAATCTCTTCTAGGTCAGAGAAGTGGACTGCTATTACCTCAGTGGACTCATTTCCTGAGGATACTAACAGGTAAGATAGATTTTGTGCACCACATCCAACACAGCACATGCAATACGGTTTGCTGTCTGCTGTTCTCAGTACCCAGACTTTGTTCTACAAGCTATTGAACCTGTCACATCCCCTTGATGCTGATATTTTAGGAGAAACTAGAGGCTTCTAGAATGATTTGTTCCCATACAAAACTGGAAATGAGTTTCCACCCACTGATACTATTTATAAGCAAGTAGTAACAGCATTAAACTAGAATCCCTGCTGTTCCTGATGCTACTCAAAGAATACATGATTGTCACTGTCCCATTACAGGTCCAGTGGGTGTGAATGGTGCAGCTCATTTTGAACCATTTCTTGTTTATTCTTATCATACTTGAACACCTGTGAGTCAGAGGTATGTCTGTTTTTTTTTCCCTTCTCTCAGTCTACCTTTACAGTCCAAAATGGTGGGTTTCTGGTAGATCCTGTCACTTCTATGTAATTTGGCCATTTCAGAATGAAATACTTAGGCTGCTAATTGCCCTGTCCTCTGTGCTTGTTACAGGTGACATCTGGGCACATTGGTAGTGAAGTTGTGAACAGTCATGCTTTTGGCAAAGAACTAAGCCAGAACTGGAGGAAATGAAATCTACGGATAGAAGAGTGTATTTCTGGTGCCACTGCAACCAGAGACCCATCTATCCCTTAGCTTTTTCTTTTAACCTGAATTGTTGATTCAGCTACTTGGCAGTGGGGTGCCATTTCAAGCCTTTTGCTATCTTCTTATTGAGAAAATTGAGTAGGGCTGTCTAAAATTTCCAATTTCTTTTTTATTTTCTTTGCCCTGCTCTGATTATTCCTGTCATTCTCTTTTTCAAAGTGATTGAGCTGGAATTTTCAGACGATTACTCACAATGACTCTAGTTCTTTTCCTTTCTATGTATGGCTAATGTGGTTTATCCCAGATAGATTAACCTGTGCTTATTAACACTTTCATTTTACCAGTGGTTTTATTGCCTGGTCACTCAGCGTCATGTCACAGTCACTCATATTCAGACTTAGATCTGAAAATCCTGGATAACTTTAGGCAGCTGGTCACTCGATCATTTCATTGCTCATCCCTTTTCCAGATCACTGTGATGGTAGTAAACAGAAGAAATCCAGCATAAATTCTCAGGAGCTCTCTTCTCGCAGAAGCTAATTATATATGTGTTATACATGTACACACACAGAGAAATGTACACATAGAAACATATGCATGCATATGTACCTGCATTATTATATTTATGTGTGCATACATATAATTATTTATACCGATTTGTAACTTCCTGTATTTCATTCTAATGAGTTTATTATACTTCATGACAGTAAGTTCTTTAAGAACTTTTACTGGGAGAGAGAATTCAGCCGTCTGTGTTTTTCAAAAACTGGGTGCAGTGAATCAATAAAACAGCTCTGGCCCTCATGTCTGGCAACTCTCCAGAAATATCTGATGGATTTGTGAGGTATGGCTTGTCTTTATAAAAGCTGTGTTGACTTCCACTGACCAACTGATCCATTGAGCTATCTACTTCACACAGATACACTTGTTGAACAGGGCTTCTGGTCCAGTCCCACACTGAAAGCACTACTGTTGCAATAGCAGACCAGACCAACTCTACTGTTGTCTGGCTGAGTCTTGAAAACCCCCAAGGGTGGAGTTTTTACCTCCCCTCCAGAAACGTGTCCCAGAGCTGCACCATCCACCTCCTGAAAAAAAAATGTGTGCTGATGGCCAATCTGAGCTTCCTGAGTGCAATCTGGCAACCTCTTCTTCTACCCTTTGTTACTGTTCCTCTCTTGACTTTTCACCACTGCCAACAAGAATTTGATTCCACTATTTATTGCTCTTCTTCAAGTAGTTTGATTTTTGGAGACTAACTACCCTTGACAATATTGACAACTGGAGCAAACTGCTCTGAAGTTGAGTCTCCTCTATTCTGAGCAGAGGTTAGAGTGGGGGTGTCCAGAAACCCCTTCCAACCTGAGTTATTCCATAATTTTGCAGTCAGGCTGGACTCCATTAGTAAGTTTCTCCTCAAGGGAAGTCCAAGGTGACGTGTCAGTAGGTATCATCCACTATATCTTGGCACTCCAGATATGGTTTGAAAATTTCCAAGGTGTATTTTTAAGTATCCTTGGATACTCAAAATAATAATAATGGATAATGGAGCAAAGTGAGCAAAACAGCACAGGAAGTGCTATTCAAGCATTTCCTCCAAGCGTTCAATTGACATGCCAGTCTTAAGAAAGAGGTTGTGAACTGATATTCTGCCGCTGTCTTGAGTTGTTAGTCCATTTTCGGATTCAGTGCTTGTAAGAATAAAATGGTGACTGGAAAACAAAGCTCATGTCAGCCCTTACCAGCAGAGCATTCTTTTGAAGGTAAAGAGCTGGAAGGCAGCATGGTAGAAACAGTGAATCCTATTAGAGCCAGCAGCAAAACATTTAAATGCTGAAATAATTCAGCATCTGCTGAGAGCAAGAACTATCCACATAAAAGACACTAATCTGTCATAGATTTTAAAGCTAGAAGAGATTATGATGATCTTTCACTCTAACCTCCTACATAATTCAGACCATAAGATATCATTTCACATCAAGCTCTTATCTTCCAAATGAGCTTGAAAAAGGCATCCACTCTTGACTGAAGTACTGACAGTGATGAAGATTCCACCCTATCTTTGGGAGATGATGGTAAGATTAGTTATCCTGACAGTTATGAAAAATACAGTCTATTTCAGTGCTTTGTTTCAGCTTTCATCCACTGGCATTTGTGATGCTTTTTGCTGAATTATGTGCTTTTCTACTATCAGGAAGTTTGGCTTCCAAGAGCAATTTTGACCAGCTTTCTTACCTTTTTCAGTGTGTGGTCAAAGCCTCAGAAGAACTATTTCTGGCTGGGTTGTAGACGTTTCAGATAACCTTGACCTTAGCTTGTTTCTGCTAATGATGATCCTCTGTAGAACTCAGATAATGATACTTCCCTCCCTCTCACAGGTGTTAGCTGGGAAAAAAAAAAGATCATTAACATTTCTCACATGCTAAAGTGGGAGGAAAATATTGGGTCACATGGAGATCAGAGGCTGGATATTGCATTCCGAGATGTGGTTTAGTGCAGCAATCTTATCTACTGGAAACTGAAGTCCTCTCAAGTTGCTGCAAGATATGAGCTGCATTTTCATATGTGGATTGTGGTACTCTGAATCAAAAGACAATATCTGAAAATATTTGTGTGCAGTGGTAGTTGGATATCTGTGAAAGAGAGAAGATATTTGGGGACAGTAGGGGATAATTTCTTTCTTTGTAGGGGACACTGTGATAAGGCAATGTAGACCAAGTGAAGAGTATTTCTCATAGTAAAACATTTATCAAGATGTAAAAACAGAAGCTCATCTATTCGATTCAGTTCATCTGTCTACTCTAAATGGAGCATTTATTTGTAATGGAGCCAGTAGTCTCAGTTATCAGCCATACCTTTTACAGTCAAAGCCTAGACCAAAATAGCTCCCAAGTCCTTCTGATTTTCTATTTTTGTCAGTGATCTGCTTAAATGCTGAGGATGCTCAGACCAATCTAATTGGCTAAGCACCAGTGCTAGAGCAGTGGATCACCTTCCTATATTTAAAATGAACATATATATGATGTCCTTGAGGTGGGAGAGCAGGGGTGCCTCGTGCTGCCAACTGCTGAGTCATGGCTGAAAACCAAGGAAGATGAATCACTCAGCACAAGGCTGGTGTCTCCCATACTGTTGCTCTGTGGTGCTCAAGATGTGAAGTGCTATGTTGGGATGAGTTGAGACAGAAGATGATCTGCCTGTTTTGCCTTCTGTGCTAGGGTCAGCTTTTTTTCAGCCCTGGTGACCAAACCTGGACAGAGCTTTGCTGATGATGGGGAATGACTCAGTGGCATGCGACTCCCCTCAGCCACATGTCAGGGAGTAGGTCTTTGCTTGTAGATCAAATAAGACCTTCCACTGAAATTTAAAGGAGGTTTTTCATGTGGTCCACTGTTTTCTGTTATGCATAAGTGGTAAGATGGCTTTATTTTCCAGAGTCCAAAATGCATGTGATGCTGAGCTGATATTTAGGCTAAAAATCAACAGCCCATTTTCATACACAGGGACTAAAAGACTAATTCATTTGGCTCTCTTCTTTCCCATTGACAAGTTATCATAAACAGGGATGTCTCCAAATCTGTATGACAAAAGTCCTCTATGGTAAAAACAAATACTGAAACAGAAATCTGAGCCTACTTCTAAATTATTCTGGGTTAATGGCTTTGGTCAAGTGCCTTATATAGTTGCTTTATATTATTTGCTGGTTCACAAAGAGTAATTCAACATCAACATGTTAAGTCAATAGATTTCCTCTCTTTTGTATCTGTTTTTACATAGTAGCTGAAACTGATGAATCCTGTGGTGGAATCATCAATGGGAATGAACAGCACAAGATGCATGTCTGGGAGCTTTTGGGGTGGGTCGTGCTCAGTGACGCTGGGTGCTATCAGCCATATCTTTGTTTGGAGACCACATGCAGTCTACAGAGAATTACTTACGGAAAAACAAAGTTACAGGGCCTGACCCTGGTAGTTTGACCACAGCTTCCAGCCCAGGCCACAACTGACCATGGCAAAAACAACAAATTCTTTCATGTTGTTATGTATTTAATCACATAAACACTGGGGAACTTAAGTCTCAGCCCAGATCTCTCTTGAGTAATTATTACAAAGACTGCTTTGGCAAGATCGTATGTAGCTAGAATTGGCTGTTGGTGTTTTCTCCTTTTCCTTTTTTTAAATAGATGTTTCCAAAGAGAAAGCTGTTGTAAATGAAATTACTATTTCCTTTCATAAGTTTTTGAGGAAAAAAATGAAAGGTTCTGGCATTTTCCCACTCACCCACCCATCTTGGATTACATTCAGACATGCTGTGCTCATGACAATATTTTGGCTTTGACAAATGGGAAACTTTTGGATGTCATTGTGGAATATAGGTGTGTTGTGTCACTTCCTTTTTCTGAGGATATATCCTATGATTTTTTGCTAATGGCTTTGTTCTCTTTTGGGATATTTTTTGTATCAGATTAACAACATACTGCAGAGTATTTTGATTTTTTAAAGGCACTTTGGTGTTTTTTACAGGCACTATGCAAAAATATTGTTTCTCAGGCTTCTAAAAGCTCTGCTTCTAAAACATGACCAAAAAAAAGTATATCAAAATGAATAATAACACCCGATCACTGCCATGTAGAAATCCAAGCTCATCTGCAAACTAAGCACCAAGTGCTTATTTTACAGCATGACCTTTCCTGGTGCTTCCCGACTCATCATTCCAATGGCATTAGTGCAGTTGGAATGGAAATTTTGGTTTCATTTGATTATATGATACTGGGAAAACTCTTGTGGCATCATTAGTTTGAATTTAACAGTACAAGCTTGGTCAATGGGCTGCTTCATTGCTCTCAATCTGTCATGTAGTTGAGGACACAGGAGCTCTGAGCAACTATGTCCTCCTCTCCTGTCTCAAGAAGGGAAAAGCATTTGCTTTCTTTCAGGAAAAAAAAAAAAGGTGTTTGTAAAGTTAGGTCTCTTTGAGAACAACTTTTTTTTTAACTCAGCTCTTATTTGTACTGGAGGAATTACATTGTCTTGTGTTATGCAATAATTAGACAGCATGCAAATCCCTGTTCTTCCTGGGAATGTTGGATTCACTCCATTAGCAACTTCCATGCATTTTTCTGGCCTTTTCCATGCAGTGATGGCTGGGGTCCCCAGCAGACCTTGAAGTCATGGGATGTTCTGGAGAGATGTGTGGTCACCAGGGGAACAGAAATAAGTCTGGGCTGTGGATCAAATTCAGGTTGCCTGGTGTGACTGAAAATGATTTCATTTAAATTTAGCAGCAGTGTTGTGGCTGGAAAGGGCTGATGAGAACTTGGCACTCACCTCCTCACCTCAGCCTGTCTCCTTCCACATAAGGGTTGTTCGCCTCCAAACAGAGCACTGCTGGTGTGTAGCCTGAGCAAGCACCCTTTAAACTACATTTTTGCTTCTGTAAACTGTTTTGGTAAGTCATTTCTTAGCATCCAGAGCAGCCTTTATGTACCAGTGCTCTAGAGAAATGGAGGAGATTATGTCCCACTAAGTGGATGATGAACCTGTGTGAGCTGCCCTGGCTGAGCTGTTATCATCTGTATTTGTATCTTCACACTCCATGTTACACTCCAGGTAACAGATGAAACCAGTTGGGTTGATCTGCCTTCTGCTAAACCAGTACCTTCAGTGCTACAAAGGCACTCTGTGATGCCCAGGAGCGAGTCCCACCTTCACCTTCTCCTCGGTCTCTGCCAGCCCTCTCCATGGGAAAGGCAGGTGGGATCTGGGCTTGTTCTCTCTGTCCTCATCTTGGCATCACTTCCAGGCTTGTCCCTGTCACATCAAACCCTACCATTCATCTGCAGGAATGTGCCTTCAATTGGCTGTAGTGCAACCTTAGGACACATACTTGCTGCAGGGGAAGTGAGCAATGGATGTCCAGACTTGATGACCCTTTAATTTAGCATTTCCAGCTGCTTTTTTTTTTCTTTTTCTTTTTTTTTTTTTTTCCCCGCAGTTTAATAGGGGAAAAATGATGTATCTTTTAAAAAGCTGACTGTTTCATGAAGCAACAACCTGGCATTTTTTGCCTCTGCCCATCCAGTTTGTGTCCACCAGGTTTGACGTTTGCTTTCTACCCTCTTTAATCAATTGCAGTGCGTTGCATCCTGAAAAGAGGACTGTCATTTGACGTCAGTGCTGCTTAGCTTGGGTCATCAGGTTTGGTAACAGAGATGGACTTTGAACAACCATATTCCTGCTTACATCTTTCAGGAAGGGAGAAGACCTTGTTTCTCCTTTCTGGTCTAAAATGAAAGCAAAATAGTACCCTTTTCCCTATTTTCCTCCCTGCAGAAATACTTTTGCCTAGGTTGCCTGGGGCAAAGACCTCTGTCAAATTTTCTGGTCACAGGTACATTTAGATGAGGGTATGTGAGCTAGCATCATGGCTCATCTCTTCCTTTCTTGCCCTCAGTAACCTCAGCTCAAATCTCCAAGCCTACAACGTGCAACCATGAGTTGTATGGCTTATTAATCCTTTTGGCCATCGAGCCAAATGGATTTCACCTCACATGGAAGTGAAAAGTGACTCTGGAACCTCAGGGGTAACCACTCCTCATGAGGTGGTACCTACCAACAACAGGTGGACAAAGCCTAGGAGCATCAACCTAGGAGCTGTGTCATGGTGTAGTGCTTAGGCATGGTGAAGGACAGCATTGAAAACTGTCAACCACCAGGAAAGAAAGAAAAGAGAAAGAAAAGGTGGCATCTTCCCAAAATGGATTGTGTTGCAACTGCCTACTGATCTGGCTTACAGAGTGATGGGGTATCTGTGTGGGAGGAGAAACAAACTACCAGAAATACTAAAATAATTGACTGGCTGGCAGGCTAAAACTTAGCAGAAGCTGTGAGTATACTTGTCACTATCTGTTAACCTTCAAAACAGGTGCTGAGCATTTGAAGTGCCAACGTGGTGATCAGGCTGCAATCTGTATATGTGTAGACAGTAGTAACAGAGAAATAGGCAGGGGGAAAGGGCTGGGGGCATGCCAAGTGGGCACATGGGCTAAAAGGGGATGGCCCTGGGCAGTCAGCGTGGAAATGCAAGTAGACTTGGCTGGCTGGGAAAAAGCAGACAACCTCCCAGAGGGGCTGGGATGGAGCAGGAAGCGTTTTTGGGTCTTTGGCTGCTGGCAAATAGTGCTGCAAGGAGGACCATGGGGAGGGGGCTCTACTTTGCTAGGCTGATTTGGCTGCTGAAGATTTCAGATTAGCTTTATAAAAGTTCTCAGTTTACTGCAATTCAGCTGGAGGAACCTTGACTCATGCCAAGATCCTCAATTTTGACTGGCTTTTTGCACTTTCTGTCTAGTTCAGTGTACTTATTTCTTTCTTCTTTTTTTTTTTTTTTTTTTTAATATATTTCAGCTTTCTAGCTTCTTTTGAAAGTCATAAAAGTGCTAAAAAAATAACTTTCAGTTTTAATAATTTTATTTGGGAAAAATGTCCATAAGAGCACAATAGAAAAGGGAACCGAAAAAATAATTTATAAAAACTTTCATTTTTCTGACAGAGAGTATTTACATTACCAAACATTGTGATGACAAGCATCTTGGGATCTTGCAAGGCTGTGTTGTTAAGTAAGTCAACAAGTGGTGTAATGCTTGACATGTGGGGAAGGTGAGTGAGTGACGTTCAAGGGGGAGGATTGGGCAGGGTTCTGAGGAATACCCAAGGAATGTGAAATAAAAGGCTTTGAAGAAAAAATGTCAGGAGTGGAGATCTGAAAATTGTGAGGGGCATAACTGACAACGGCATGGCTTGCAAAACAAAAAGACCGTCAACACAGTCTTTAAAAATCTCCTTGTCTTGTCTAACCGTAAATCATTTGTACTAAAACCCAAGGACAAACTGGGATGGAAATGTACTTAGACTGTGAGTACAAACTAGATAATATTGAGCCTGAGTTCCACCATGGGATTCCACCTAATTCAGCCAACATCTCAGGTTCTCTTGCTTTTTAAAATTACTGTACACCTGCATTATACCCTTGTTCCAAATGAGAACAGCTGAGAAACATATATCATCCAGAAGTGTTTGACGGACCTCCAACAAAAATAGCTGATTGCTGAGAAACTGGCAGCTTTTCTTTAATTGTGGATGAAACTCCAGGGCCAGTACCTTGTTTCTCCTCGTGGTGTTTATTTAACGGGCACTGGTTTGGGTGTGAAATTGGCAGCCTGGAAAATATTATCAGAGGTGGTGCTGCAGGGTATTGCCTCCATTTGGGGTCTGTTTTTAGTACATTCTGGAATACTGCAAAGCATGTGCAACAAGCAAGTACCTATAAATAGTCACTTGGCAGCATATCTTGATCATCTATGATCTGATGAAAATGTACTTTTATACCTTTGTTTCTCAAGCTGCACGTGTGGTTCCTACTCTGTTTGTCAGGTGGGGGAATTTCTGCCAAAGGTTAAGGCTTAGACCGAGCAAACCTGCGGATCATTTCTTAGTTCCATGCTGAAAGATTAAGATGGCTATAATGTGGATTTCGGGGGAAAACAGTCATGCTCCATATCCCCTGCTAACCTGGCTCAGATGCAATGCTATTTCCCGTCTGGAGCTAGAAAAGCACATGCAGCATTTGAGGGAATGCTCTCATTTTCCTTCCTTTTTAAAAAGAGTCAAGAGACGCATCTTAGAAGTGGGGAGGTCAGATTTCACTGATGGTGTTGACTGTGTTTCCAGCAACTGCAGCAGGAATTTGGATACCTCTCTACATTCCCATGTCCTGATCTGTGAGTTCAACCCCACCCAACCCAACAGGGACAGTTTTAAAGCAGGACTGGTGGTTTGGAGATTGGAAGTGTGTGCTGAGTATTTCAGAGAATTTAGGGCAACATGGGAATTTGTCTCTTCACCTCTTCACCAGGAATTCAACACCCTTTATTTCACAAAGAAATTACAGATTAAAAAAAAAGGAGGAAAAGAAAAGGATAGTTCAGTGATTTACAGTGCCCGTACTTCATGGCTGTTCCTGACTTGGGTAAAGATTAGATGAGGTTGGCTACTTCTTTTCTACTTTTTCACAGATGCTTTATTTTTTTGTTTTGGAGGTTAATTACCTAAGCGTGCATAAAAGTAGAGGGGAGAAGAATATCTCATATTAAATATGGGTTTCTGCAGCTGCTCTGGACCACTCTGCTTCAAGGCTTTGTCCTTTGTACTGTAGCACAAAACTGATAAAAAACTATTACTGCATCACCAAAGCCAACCACTAATTTACAGATTAGAGCTCGCAATCTTCAATGGACCTCCTCCATCCTTCAAAATTTGATAAGAAATGCTTTTTCAAGGAGCATAATACTGAATTTTGTGTCAATTCTTCCTAGCCCCCAAATATTTATTTTCTGAGTTATTAAAATCAGCCTCTAGAAGAGCTTCCTAACCTGCTCTTTTGACAATCCTGCTGGAAAGTATTTGGATGTACTGATATTAAAGCATTAATCCAGTGGTGACTGTTTTACATTGGTTGATTATGACTAGAGAAAAAATACCCTTTCTTTCCTTGTGATGTGAATACAACCGGTGGTTTTCTCCCTGACAAAGAATGAATATGTGTTATGAACACTTCTGATTTCTTCATTATTTTTGAATCTCCTGATATTGTTGATGGGCTAATAGTACAGGCAGGGATACTCTTGTTCTTAATGCAAACAACTTATTTTAAGTCCTCAGTCCTTCCTTATAGCTTGCTTGTACTAGAGTACAGCTTCTTGAGACTTGCTGTCTTGAAACACTTTGTGTTTTTAACTTACTTGTATGGGAATCATACAAACCAATCTCCACCTTCGTTACCATTAATCTTTACTTCTTGGTTAGAACATTGTCATCCACAATTTGTAGCAATTTCAGAGAAGTTAGTACTGCTGGATGGAGATCACTGATATGTCATTCAGAGTAAAGTTTCCACAACATTCTCATGTACATGATAGGTAAGTGGTTTTGAATCTGCCCCACCTGATTTCGAGGGTAGTTTAACAGTTTGGGGTGGCTGGCTATTATAAACTCCCTTTGCACATTACTCATTTGGACATGATCCACACGCATTTGCTTTTGAGCTGTCTCTGCCACAGAAGAAACTAATGCGTATTTGGACAGGAAATGACAGTGCAGGTCGTTTTTGCACAACTGATTCCCTGCTGAAAGCTTATGGTCACTGCTTCCACTCCGCACAGGAATGTAGATGTTTTCTCTGGGTTTCATTAGCACAGATAGATCAAAAATAGCAAACTGACTTTTGACTGAGTTTTGAGAGGTATTTCACAGTTGTTGATAAGCATTTTAAGCTGTTCTTCACAAGTAATAGTCTAGAAACTGAACTCTGAATTTCACTGTCCCTGAAATCCTATTTTATTCTTTTACCAACTCCAAGTTTGGTAACTATATGACACCTCATTTTTTCAGCATTTTCTATTAAGTGTTATGCATGAGAGAAATAAAACTCCACTGCTTTTTAAATGCATCTCTGAGCTATGCTCTTGCAGATCTCGCAGACAGCACACAGTAAAGAAGGAATCAACAACAAGAATTTCAGAGGCTAATTCATGATTATGTGACTGTTGTAATCATAAGAAAAAACTCCCTCTGTAATCAGAAAAATCACGTGAAGAAATTTAAGTGGTCCAGACCAGATCTTTTTGTATTGTGCTTTTAGACATTCATAAGCCAAGGCTCTCTTCATCTTTTTGAATGTATTAATCCAACAGCCCTCATGTGTATAGAATTTCCAGCATTTCAGTGTCAGTTTTCATCATTTGGAACTGCTGGTCTAGGAGGGGCTGCATAGGATGATGCAGGAGGCACCACGGGGGCACTGCTGTCCACAAGATGGTATCTCCCATGTGCCATGTTCAGTGCAAGGACTAAATGTGACTGAAAGGCAGATACCAACCTTTGATGGAGCCTGAAGAAATTCGTTTGGGTGTTCCCAATACATCACCAAATAATCAGATACTCAAATACAATCCTAAGCTATTTATTTTGTCAGCTAAGAAGCTGAAGGCTGGTGCAGGCCAAGTACCTACATGCACAGTGTTTCAAAGAATTAATCGTGTCTTCAGATGTGGAGCCCGCTAATTAGTTTAATTACTGTCCTTTTTTTTTTTTCTTTTTTCTTATCAGTAGCTAAATGGATCCAGTGACAATGAATCTTATTTCACTTTTAATAGATGAAAGAGAAGCAGGCTTCAAAACAGATAATGAATTTCTTCTAACTCGTCTGGAGACCGAAAAGCCATAATTCTGATTGATCAGTTATGGTCTGCCTTGGAGAGGCACCAGATGTGATCCAGATTTTAAATAGATGCTGCTACTGTCAACATTCATTCGCTCCCTCCTGGTGTAACAAAGTGAAGTCCATCTGTCTGTAGCCGTGTACTTTTTTTTAGTGGTAATAACAGTTAACATCAACAATACGCTTTGTCTCATTAGTATCAAATAATCCCTACTACCAAGTCCCTGGTTTCTGGTCCCCATATTATCTGCCATGGAAAAAAATAAAGACCACAGCAGGAGCTAAGAAGGTCAGTGCATTCTCAGGGTAATCAGCTGTAGTAAATTCAATTCTGACAAGAGAAGGCTTGCAAACGTCTAGGGAATTAAGGGATCATCTATAATTTCATATGTTGAGTGGGAAAGTGTCCTTCCAAACGTTTATTAATTACAGATGAGGATGCGTATGGTGGTCGTCCTTGGAGACATTTCATCTGAAAGCAGGAAAAACAGGCTTAAATTTTTGCTGCTGCTTCCAAAGAAGAAAAATACTAACATTAGCATTTGGCTTTGCAATAGTTTCCACCAGTATTCCTTCTCTCCCAGTTTTTATTTCTCTGTCTTAGCCACTGATGACAGTCACTCAATCTGAAACTCCTTGCACAAAAGGTTTCCACTGTAATCAATAGGGAGGAATTCCCCTGGCTTTAATCTGGCTCTGTGCCACCTCTCCACCTCTGTGCCATCATTATGTCACAATGGTTTGCAGTCCTTAAGAAGTAGCAAGGAAAGAACTACAGACTAAATAATTTTGCATTTAGAACTGAATCTTTCATTTGGAGATCTTGAAGCACTTTAGAAACCTTAATTACTACCCTTTGAGGTCTGTGCTGTCCTTTCTGTTTTACAGTTGAGGAAATTAAAGCGCAGGAAGGTTAGAAGCCAACTTCATCCAAGTTGGGCAGTTGAAGGTAAGCTCTTACATCCATGTCTTTCTCCCTTAACAGGAAATTTTTGACACTTTCAAACTCACTTTTGCACCAAGTTTTTGAAAAGTTAAGCTTTTAGCTTACCTAAGAGCTTGGCAAGAGTCATCAGGATTGCTGATGTGATCATTCAATTGCCTTTCAAAAAGTCAAAGTTAAAGCTTTTTTATTTCCCTTTGTGAAACCAAGGCTGAGGAGAGGAAATGAACACTAAATCTGTCATGGAGGATAAATACTCAGGGAGAAAAAGATATATGCAATTAAAAGAATAAACCTGCCATGAGAACATGTTGATCTCATTTTACCATGTATTAGCATGGACTGGAAATTCAGAAGTTTATCACTACCGCAGGACTGAAATCTGAGAGAAATGAGGATGAGGATGGATTCTGAGGATAAATACCATTGCTTGAGTTGAGATGGAGTGGGAGCAGAGACGAGGAGGGCAGAGGGGATAGAGGCAGCACCAGCACCTCTGGACTGAATTTGGTGATCTGTATGTCCATTCCTGTGTTGTATTCACAGAATTGCAAATCAGTTCCCCAACCACTCTGGGAACACACAAATGCTGAGACAAAATGGCCTTCTTCACTGCAGGGGCTCCTGGGTATTTCTTGTTTAGGCTTTAAGTCATTTGGTTTGAAAAATGCTATTGCTGCTACAAGAAAATGAATACCTGGTGATATCAAATATTGTTCTCCTTTTTAAATTTGCAGGGCCTCATGTGCCAGATTGCAGCTATTGTATGAAGAATTTTCAGTTCCTTTTTGTGTCTGGCAGCTGATTGAAAGTTCATATTATTTATGGCAGAAAACAGCAGTGTACTTTTGAGCTTGAGGAAGCTGGGAAAGTGCAGCGGGTGTCAATCAATTAAGCTATTCAACTTATTTATGAAACAAGACAAAACAATGTCTAGGATATGAATTCCCATCTCAATAGGATCCTCCCTGATATAAAATGTCAGTGCTGAAAAAGGGTCAACTCATGACCCTTGAATATTCTTTTAAACTATTTGCAAATCAATACTTCTTCTCTGGGTTTGTTCAGGGACCATCATTCCCTTTTATTATAAGTCACGGGGCACAGACTGCTTATCAGTGAGCCTGGAGACAGATCATTGCACTAAAGGAACAGCTGGCTTTGGAGACCAGCCCTGACTCTCATTTATAGGGGAGGCTTAGTTCACACTACTCCAGCAGTGTTTCAAAGTTATTATAATCTTGCTTTTTACTGACACTTGGGCTCCTTTATATGTGCTGAAAGAATTCCTTCAGTGTGTGAGCAGCTGGGATCTTCTCTCTTTTGCTATATCAGTTATGAGCATCATCTCCCGTTTTTTTCTTCCACATGCTCTGTGTCAAGAGGTCCTTCTGCATACAAGGGTATGTGGATTTGGGTTTTATGATCATCTCCCCCTCCTAACTGCACTGCTGACAATAACCTGTTGGGTACAGGTAGGGCTTGAGCAGATGGCCTGATCCTCAGTTGAGCATCTGGCTTGTTAAGCTGTCTAAAAAGGCATCGTCTTTACAAATCCCACTCCTAATCTCATTGCCCACTGTGTGACCTGGGGGGGTTTCAGGTCAGTGGCAAAGAGGAGAGGAGGAGGAGCACAGTAGCAGCTGGGCACCCTAAGAGCCAGGGCAGAAGATGGAGGTGCCCCCAGTGCAGTGCATCTCAGCCAGGTGCTGAGGATGGGCCTAGCTTCGTGGCAGGGATGCAGGGATGGACTTTGCTCCTGGCTGAGCCAAAGGGCCTACCTTGAGCTTCCCTGCAGGGAGGATGTCCCCGGAAAGCATCTTTGGAATCACTGGTTCAGGCTTTTGGATAAATGTGTCTAAGGGACCTGTCATTGTGTCTCCTTGTGGCATCTTAACACATGGCATCATGCTGGTGCATTTCAGCTGCACTTGGGCTTGCTTACATCCTGACTGGTCAACTGGGAATACAACACCAGAAGAAGTGCCCAGCTGTCTGCTGACTTACAGAAGAAAAATAAAAAGAATAAAGAGAGCTTTTTGCAAAAGGAAGATGAAGAAAGCAACAGTTTGCAAAGCAGTGAGTGGCATATACTGGCAACATAGTGTTCCTCAGAGGAAATTGGTAGACTCCTGTTTTGGCGAGAAGGCCAGGAATGTGGTACATCCATGAAAAACCTGCAAAAGATATATTCTTCATTTTGTTTTCCCTTGTAAGAACTTTGAGGGAGATATTTTGTAATGGTAATAACCTGGGAAAAAAGTGAAGAATTTCCAATTTTAAACTTGCACAGTGCAGAGACCTGGAAATAGTATTGAATTGAGGCCCAATCCTTCCAGCTAGGGACTGGTTTTAAGGTAAACCTGAATTTCACAGATATGTAAGAGAGTAACCTAGCCCAAATATATAAAAAAAAATAAATTGGAGGAGGCTTGGATGGGGATATTTTAGAACAAAAGAAATGCATTTGGCTGTTAGAGCTCTTTGGTATTATTCCTCACAAAAATCAGAGGAAATCTTTAAAACAAATCATGACAACTGTATTAAATTCTTTAAGGTAACTAATTATAAAGATAGTCCCCTATTTCACAAGTCTCAAATGCTTTCTTTAAGATAAATTTTTAAAAAGTCAAGCAACCTTTCTTTTTATTTCAACCCACTTCAGTACATGAAAAAACGAGTAGTTCTGAGTTCAATTCAGAGCAATTTGTGCTGTTGGAAAAATACATATATCAGTGAAAGCATCCTCCACATCTCTTAAAAAAAAACTTGGACACTGCTCCATCTGTGCACTTATTTACACTCACAAATTCTGGTGCTGGCCTGTGCTGATGTCTGCTAAGGTACAAATATGAAACATGAAACAGAAGCTCCAGAAAAGCATCTTGTTGCTTTTTTTAAAGTTTACCTCTAATTAGAATATCTTGGGAAAACTGCTTTTCTTGTTGGTTTAAGCTGTGCAAAAAAAGGTATCAATACAAAAAGATCAAAAGGAAAATGCATCCTTAGGCGTAAGCTGCACTGTAAAACATAATTTACTATAGAGAGACATTCTCCCATCTTTAAGGCAGTGGGTTAAATTTTCAGTTCAAACCACCATCAAGTTAGGTTAGTAACTACTTAGGTTACTAGGGGAAATTCTTAACTTTAAGTGTGTGTGGAGTGTGGTACATTGTCATTCAAGAGACTGTTAGCTGATGCAGCTTCACTTTGACACACATGGGGGTAGGTGTTACAAAAATAATGTTTACCCCTAAAATGGTTAGGATCAAAATAAACACAGAATAGCTCACTTGCTAACAATTACCAATTAAGGTGAAGTTAAAGAAAAGTAAGAAATATCTAATTTCTAGTTACAGGCATGAAAGCAATATATGTAATATGGCATTAATTGGAAAACTTTAGGAACATTATGAACAATGGAATATGTGCGTTGAAAACATAAATCTCCAGTCAGCCCAATGTTTGTTATTAATAGATCTTTTGCTGCTCAGTATTTCTTAGAAATAGATTTGGAGTTGGAAGTTCATCATCATGTAGCTATATTAAAAAAAAAAAAAGCTGATGAATCGCAGTTGCTTCCCTCTAAATAAAGAGCAGCTAACCAGGAACCATCTGTTGGTGTATGATTACCAACTTTCTTTTTGTCTTTCAAAACAGCTTGAGAAATCAAGGGCACTGTGAGTAAAGCAGAGAGCATGCACACACGGTAGCCAGCCCAAGAAGATCGGCTCAGATCCTCAGATTAGTGTTTTTCTCTCTTGATGCTCTAATTTCAGACTGACGGTTTTCATCTGGCGTGCTCGTGTATTTCAAACCCATGCTAAACTCTAAAGGGGTCATTCTGCAGCAAACGTGGCTAATATTAGTACAGTTGAGACTTGCAAAATAAGACTTCTAAAAGGGGAAAATCCTTTAGTCCTCTCTCAGTTTGTGAAATCAACAGGATAATATTAATTCATTTTTTCCCCCTGCTATTGAATAGTAAAAAGCCTGGGATACCCTGGGAAAACATATTCTTAATGGTTTTCTTAAGGCTGAATGCCCTACTAGCAGTAGAAAAGACAAAGCAGTGAGATCTAAGGCCTCTGAGTCTCTAGAAAATGGCATAGGTTTTTATGCTGGAAAAATGAGGGATTTATTCCTTTTCTTGGTCAGATGAGCTCAGGGTCAATGTACAATTTCTCTTTTTGTTTCTATTCCAGTGACCATCTATTTTGGGGTGCTTTATTTCCCCAAACCCCATCTGACTGGTACATCTCACTGCATCTGGCTCTTTGTTGCTGAAAGCGCTTTGCACAGCCACGTACCCACAGCTCATACAAATCCCAGCACCTCACACATCCCTTTGTGAAGAAATGGAGGGAGAGATGGCAATAGATTTGCCAGTGAAAACCAGCTCACGCCATAGACAAAATTTTGTTGTATGTTTACAGCCCTTCGACTCCCACCCATGCCTCCATCCCTGACTGTCCCTCATCTCCTCCAGCTGCTCTCATACGCTGAACATCCTTACCCTGGGCTCCCCTACTGCATTCTCCTTTGTCCCTCAAACCACACTTTCCACCAGTGGCTAAGAGCAGGTGGAAAGGCAGGTGATAATATCCACATTTATGTGCTGGTGGCAGCTGTTGGTGTTGTTCCCCTAAAAGTAATTAAATAATAAATATATCCAACCCCAAAATGTGTGTACAAATCCACAAAGAGATATATTTCCTTTGCATGGCCACCAAAACAGGAAGTCTCTATGTATAGCCATTAATAAACCCCAGGTGCATGAAATTAAGCAGATCTGAAGTTAGCAGGGTTGGAGTCTTGATGTTTCTAGAGGAGGCTCACAATGTGAAGCCAGAGAGCAATAGCTGTCCTATAACTACGCAAGTGAAGCAGTTGTTTACGTATACATCTTGTCAGTTTGATGTGCTGGTTTCTGACTCTTGTCAAGTGTAAATGGGACTACTCCCACTGCAGTTTCTATTTTTTTAACCTAATATACTGATGCACATGTTAGATTTGCCCCAGCCTGTAAGCAAATGCAACAATGTATAAGCAGCTCTAATAAGCAGCATCCCATTGCATGCCTGGAAAGTCTTTAAGACTCATTAAGCAGTCAGCAAAACAGACACATTTGTCAACCATTAAATTGAAAATACTGAGAGGGGACCTGTGCACGGCTGTGATTTGTGAGGGAGTGCATTAACAAAAGAACAGCCACAGTCTGCTTAGCAGTTGGGTATGAGTTAAAGCAGGAACTGGAGTGAGAGGAACTATTCTAAACAAATCAGCTCTATTAATACTCTGAAAGTACATTTAAAAGCAGCAGCACATTCAGGCATCTTTGACTCCTCCAGAAGGAAGTTGCCATTTGTAGCAGAGCTGCTGTTGCTTTAATTTGACACTCAATATGTGTTTTCCCCACAGTATTAGATATCTTGGGCTCTATCCAGGACACATTTGGGAATGAACTGAGCCCTATGGTCCCCACGCAACGATGAAATTCACTATTTAGATTGATGTGTATCTTTGGTGACTCAACTAAACATGAAGAACATTAATTAGGGCTGCTTACTGCATTTAGTTTGCATTCACACAGCCTGATATGAAGCTGCTGTGTCCTGCTGGTTCAGCTGGGGTCACAGGGAGTGAGACAGGCCTGGAAAACAAAGCAACCTCACTCACCTGCTGCCTAGGCTGACTGCAGGTAGTTCCAGGATGGCTTTGGGAAACTCCTTGTAATCTACATGAATTTAAATTACTAAGGTTTAAACAAAAAAATCCTCTCAAGGATAAAAGATTGGATGGAACCCTGGGCAGTTTGATCTAGTGGGTGGCAGCCCTGCCCACAGCAAGTGTTGGAGTGAGGTGATCTTTAAGGTCCCTTCCAACCCATGCTGTTCTGTGATTAAGTTTGGGATCATTTAGAGACGTGTCAGCAGGAGAATGCTTCTCTGATATTATAACCAATGTTTTTGTGCACCAGGCATATGGGTAAATGAGTGCTAAAAAGAGAACTTCATAATAATTAAAAATCAGATTTTTATCTAGGAAGTTTGGAAGAGTGAACTGTGAGGCTTCTTGACTTCTGCTTTCAGCCCTGTTTATGGCCTTTAATGAAGGAAATGTTCCTTTCCATAGCTGTTTTGATTTAGGCTGGATATCAGAAAAAAAGTTTTTTACAGTAAAGGTAGTGAAATAGTGGAACAGTTTGCCCAGAGAAGTGGTGGATGCCCCGTCCCTAGAGACACTCCAGGTTAGGCTGGAGGGGCTCTGAGCACCTGATGGAGCTGTATGTGTCTCTGTTCATTGCAGGGGAGTTGGACTAGATGGCCTTTATGGGTTTCTTTCAACTCAAGTAGTTCTATGATTCTATGCTGGCTTCCAGGTACATTGGAATGAAATACTCTGGCCTGCTTGTTCCAAAATCACAATAGCTTTCCATTTCTACAGTTTCGTAATGCCAAGTTCTTGTAATCCCAGAGAGGAAAGATTCTGGGCAGGCGCATTCTGGGATTTAGGTAATGCACACAAAATAATGCTCAGCCAGAGGAGACAGCCTGCATCAGTGCAATTGCAAGAATGTTGTAAATTATCTGGTATCTGATACCAATAAGAAAAGCTTCCTGGTGACATCAAGTCAGGTTTTAGCAGATTTACTCTTATTTTTACTTGGACACAGAAAGTCATTGATGTCCTACCTGTATTTGGGTGGTGATTAGCTTTTCTTGGTGTCCTACCTGGACAGGAGTTGCCATCAACTCTTTGTCTGATTTGTTTTGGGCAGGGTGACTGGGACTGGACTCCCCCATCATTCCACAGACATTTCTGCCCATTGTGGTACAGAAGAACATAGGGATTTTCTTGCAGCGGGTCCAGTGCTTGAGTCATGGAAGGAACAGGTAAGGCTCTGACCACCACTTATTGTCTTCATATGTTATCTTCATCTTCAAATGTACATGAACTCCTTTTTGTCAGGGACTGGTGGGACAGACTAAACACTCTCTGTGCTTCTGTTCAGGTTATCCTTACCACGCAATTGCTTTTTTTTTTCTGTCAGATGTTTTTGCCAAAGGAGCTTTAATTTTATCAGGGCCTCATTAATTCACTGCAGACCTTCTAGAGGTGGTTTTGGGAGGTGCCAGTTCCTGTGTTCAGCAGGAAGTGGGGAGAACAGACGGTTTCCTTTTAAACTTTTAAAACTTGCCACAGTGGCTCTGCAAATGCAAATGCTCATCTCTGCTGAGGAATAAGACTAAATAAGGCTCTAACTGACTCTAAGGGGTCCAACAGACTTTGAAACTGAGGGCAGATTGCCATGACTTGCCCTCACTAACAACATCTCAGGGGCTGAGATGTTTCTGTAGTGCCCCTTCTCTTCCCTGTAGCTTCTAGTAAAAATGGAGAATGGGGAAGAATGAGCCCACAATTTCCCACCCATTGCTGTCACAACATGTCAGATACATGGGATGTGGATAAGAGGTTTTCATCTGTCATATCCCAGGTATGGCTTAAATTTGGAGAAGAGCCCTACCTGTGGGTGATGTAGGTGCTATGTTACTGATAAAGACTTGTGTTGTCCCCATTTGAGCAAGTTTCTGCATCCTGGAAGGTTTGTTTGGCATGAGTGGAAAGAAGGAGCTGCATTCATTGGTGGTAAGCGCTTCAGCCAGGCTACAAAGCCCATGGTGGAAGAGCCACCTCTACCCTCTGCAGATAGCCAGAGGGTAGGATAAGGATAGAAGAGTCCCAGAAGAATAATTTAAAAAAAGAGAATGAGGTCACATTACTGAGGATGAGATCAAGGAATAAAATAAGCATGTAGGGCAGAAAGGTTGCTGTGCTAAATGAATTACAACCACTGAGGAGTGTTAGGAAACAAGGAGAAAGGTGCTATAAATACAGTGAAGACAGCAGCGGGCATAAACCCATTACCTAATGAGGAACAGGAGAGGTACAGATGACCTAGAGAAGACCGACATATTTAATGACTTTTGGCTTTATTTTTTTTTCAAGAAAAAAAAGAAAAAAGAAAAAAGAAAAAAAGTTTCTTTGTGATTCTTTTGTGTTTTGTAAGGCACAAGGCTAAAGAAGAAAACAACAAGCAAGGGAGAACATACTTAAACATACTCTGTTGAATATATTCCACAGAGTACAAAGAAAGACGGGCGCAGATAATATCTCTGTCTTCAGAGAACAGAGAAGGGTGTAACTGGGGTTATGTAGAGCATTTATCCTCAGCACCCTATGGCAAAGGCATTGAAATAAAGAAGATACATATATATGTATCTGTACCTACCTAGGGATCAATATGGTGATAACCCACTGTATTCACTATGGAGTGACTATTGGCATTATGCATCCCACTTTACATCAGAGAACAAGAGATTTTGTCGCCATTGTCTATAAACAGCTTGAGTCCTGGGCTGCCCTGTGCCTGCAACCAGGACCATCATTAGATCCTTAGATGGCCCCAACTGCATCTAGAGATGCTGTCCCCGTGTAGCTGGATGCACCCATTTGAAGGACCTTGTTGTGGGATGCTTCTAATATGCTGCAAATTGTGCGAGGGAGCATCAGAGGATAGCTAGGTTGGATTTATCTTGTTTTCAAGCATGGTAATTTTTCAAAATACTGAAAAAGTAAAGGAATGCTGAAAGCCACAGCTGACTTGGTGAGTAGCACTTTGTAGGCAATATGAAGTTAGAAGGAACAAGGGACTGAGGTAGCTCTGATAATAAAGGAGATAATAAAGGAAAAGGACGTGTGCTTTAGAATTCCCACTTGCAATGCTAGTCCTTTCTCCATTTGTGCTACTAATCCTACCATCAGCCTTCTATTCAGATCTTAAAAATGTTCAAAACATTCTCAGATTTTATTCCAGAGACATGGTGCTTTTCAGGGATTATGCATCAAGAGACACCACAGAAAGACAAGATTCTGCTCATTTAATCCAATGTAGAATTGAAGTGCTTGTGACACACTGTGCACATGACAGCATATATGAGTTTCACGTGTTGTAAAAGCTTTAGTGTACTGATCACAACCTGATGTATTCAGCTTATGGGCTGGTGTTACTTCACTATTTATGTGGTCTAAGAAAAGGAAAAGAGAGAGGCAATCGCCGGGGGCAATGACCCTTTCTTTATTTAAACCTGAACAGAAGGAAGGTCTTCACTTCCAAGAACTCATTTTTTCTTTCTTCTTGCCACACAATAAGGGCTGCAAAAGAATGGGGCCTTGGATCTAACAAGGCTGATCATCAAGGAGAGCTTTCTGAATCTCAGGGCTGTGAAAAAGATTTAGTGCTTTGCTGAGCCAACCTTTGGAAGCAGAAGTTATGAAAGTCCAATTTAAAGGCTGATTTTAAAACTAATTCCACAGAGAATTCCCAAACCAGCAGTGCACAAACCACTCTATGCATTCATCTCCTGAGGAGCCAAATAATGCCCAATATTTCCCATGTGATTGCAGCAGATGCCTTCAGCGGTCAGTGGTGGGCCCAATGTTAATGTTTAACACTGAAGAGAGGAGAAATACAATGGCATTAAATTATGGTCATTATAATACTAGGGTTAAAAACAGTGTTGCTGCAAAGAGGTCCTGCTGGGAGGGTGCTAAGTAGAACAGCTTGCCAGAAATATAAATAACTGCATACAGGAAGACAGGATGTGCTTCATAGGGAAAAGCAGCAAAATGGCAGGACATACAATTTGTGTGAGAATAACTTCCATTAGGCATGGTGATTGTATTTATTAGTTTTAATTTTTAAAGTTTACCTTCTGCCAATAGCCTGATTCCTATTGATCCCTCTGGAAAAAACAAGATATTGGTTGACATCAGCCTATAGCAGTGTCTGTCCTCTTGTCTGTCCCGTGAAAGTAGACACCACAGTGGGATGCCATGCATGTTGCAAGCTGCACCAGAATGTTGTAGCACTGGTGCTAATACTGCAGGAAGATGCCCAGTAGATTGGGCTCTCTTTGATGTGGGCCATGCTAGGTGGTGGCCCACTGTCATAGGATTGGTGAACCCCCAAATACTCTCCTCCTCTTTGTATTTTTGTTCTGTCTCGCTACACCTCCCCACCCAGAGAGTTGGTGTAGTCATCATCCCTGGAGATTTTCAAGAAAATGATAGATATCAAACTGAGTGACATGGTTTAGTGGGCATGGTGATGATTTGATGATTGGACTAAATGATCTTAATGGTCTTCCCCAACCTTAATGATTCTATGATTCTGTACTTCATGTCTCATCTTCCCACTTCCATGTGGTGTCTCTAACTTCACTTCATGATGAGAAAGGATGAAGCTGATCCTGTGTAGGAGCAGTCTCCACTCTGATGTTTGGTATCCACTGACCCCAAAAGCCAAGGGCAGTAGCTGGTTTTCACATCCTTCTAGGCCCTCTTAACAGCACAGCTCCTCCCTTTGCTACTTGCATAGACATGAAGCAAAGCAGGGGGTCTATAGTAGCTGTCAGCACTGTATATACATAGACACTAATGATGTCAGATGGGCATTGGGAAGCAGTTTTGGTGGAGGCTGCAATAACACACCTCCTAAGAGAGGTCAGCAGTACATGGGGCTTGACCTCACATTCCTTGTGCATCCCCAACCCCCACTGAAGTCAATCAGAGCTATTCTGTGGCACCATTAACTTAGAAGATTTATGTGATTAGGGCAGTGGGAGGAGAACTTGATTTCATTTCCAGCATAGTTTTTGCTTTCCTACCCACACTCATGTTAATGCCAACAGACCTGAATTCAGCTCAAGTAGCCAGGGAAACAGTGGAACCCTGACTCTGTTCCCAAGCAGATGTGAACCACTGGCTTATTATTCAACTAAGTTGTTGACAACTAATGGTCTAATTGGGGGAGCAATTGATTTTGGATGACATTTTAAACCTCCAAGCTTGGCATAACAATTCATAACTACACTGATGGTTTATTGCTTTGGCAGAATTAAATGGATTGATTGGTCATAAACTTCCATTGGTTTCTTGTTACCATGAACCGTGTTTAATGCTTTTTATTGATCTCCTATTTTTCTGAAAATATAAGTGTTCTTCAAAACAGAAAGCTCTACAGCCTGGATGTTATAAAGAAAGGTGTTCTGTAGTGTGCACATGCAATTACAATTACAAGAAATGCTGGTTCTCATTACTCTGAAACTATTTTTGAATAATGCTATTTTAGATTATACTAAATTTATGCAGTTTATTGAGCTGAGTACTCTTCATTCCTCTTGCAGCAGGAACAACAGGCATTTAGCACTGGATGAGCATGAGCTTGCACTTTTAATCCAGGAGTTATTTGGAGGGAGTTGAATCTGCCTGAAAGACATGAAACAAGGGTGTGAGCGTGAGAACTGACTGTCATGTGAGAGGTGCAGAGAGGCATCCCAGCACAGCTCGTGGTGTAAATCCCCATTTCCTCAACCCAGACAGATGCAAAGGCAGCCTGTCTTCCCATTGACTTAAGTGCATTTCCAACTAAGCCTTTTATTTTAGAAAAGGTAGGATTTTTGGCAACAGGAAGAAGAGCTAAAAGAAAGGTCTTCTCTGTGACTAAAGAAAGTCATCCAGCTTTGCTTCATGAGCTCTTCTCTTCTGCAGAAAAATGACAATAAAACCTGGCTGCTTCAACACGTTTTAAGGATTAATGGATTAAGCAAGTTTGACCCTGCATAAATTGAAGGTGGTTGTTTGCCAGGTGTGTTGAACATGGCAACTTGATGTGTTAGTAAATATCCAGTAATTAATTCTTAATTATCACTCTGAAATTATTTTAAGGATCTCCCAGAGTTCACCACGCAATCCCTGAGGCTGGGCAGATAAAGAGGAGCAGAACACATGCAACCCATCCATTCTGTTTTGTGAAAACAATTGACACTACAAA